GGGATTGAACTCAGACCCTTTCACTTGCCAGGCAAGTGCTTATTCTACTGAGCCATCTCCTGGTCCCTCATTAAGTCTTTTATTTCTCAAGGGAAGTAAAGTCATCTTAAAAGCATATACATAAGCTTTTTCTTTGCAGTGCTGGAGATTGAATCTCTTGCCTCACAATTACCTGGAAAGTGCTGTGCCTCTGAGCTGTGTGTCAGCCTGGGAAAAATTACTTAACCTTTTTGTGTTACAGCTGAGTTCATGTTAAAATAGGGATCGCAAAGTTGCCAAGGTACATAGTTAAGTGGGTTAGGTATCTATTGCTATTTTTTTCTGAGTTACTGGAGATTGAACCCAGGGCCTTCACACTGAGCTAGCTACATTCTGAGAGCTTTTTAATTTTGACGGTTGTCTTAAATTTCCCAGGTTGGGCCTAAACTTGCAGTCCTTTTACCTCAGCTTCCCAGGTACTGGATGGCAGACATGTACTAGCATGCCTAGTGCTACCCCCAAATTTAGTGGCTTGAAACAGTAAACATTTATTATCTCTCAGATTCTGTGGGTCAGTAAATCGACACCTTAGCAGGTTGTTTCGAGGGTGTGGGGTCTCTTGAGGGTAGCACTCTGAGAGAGGCTTGACTAGACTGGAGGAGCTGCTTCTAAAGATGGTTCCCTTAAGTGGTGCTAACTAGACCTTTTCATAGCTGCTGGAGTGTCATGACTAGTTTTCCCCAGAGGGAGCAGTGAAGGAGAAAAAGTAGAAGTTACATTCTTTTATTGTTTGATCTTGAAAGTTGCACAGTCATTCTCTATTGATTGTATATTTCAGTCTTCTCACAGTAAGTATTCAATAAAATATAGCTGCCATTATTACTGTTGTCATTTCTATTACACCATCAAATGTATAAGTACACCTGTGTCCACAGTCAACTCTCTCCAGGCACACTAAGAATTGCCTGTCCTATCACAGGGCTGTCTCTTCATATTTGCTCTTTGCATCTTTTCATGAGCTTTTTGCTAAAGATTATAGTATTTTG